CAGCAGGCCAAGCAGCATCATAGGAGCAGAGAGGCTGACGTTTCGGGACTAGACCCTTCATCACCTTAACCTTCTCTGCTCTATAGAGAACAAAGCCAATTTATTTAATTTGAAAAGGATGATGTATTGTTAGTTATCTTTAGATGTAGTGCAGAAAGGAGAGGCGAAATTTGTGGGACATATATGCAATTGAATACATTCAACATTTGATGAGCCCACAGTCTGCTGTTTCATTAGAAAGATACAGAAAGAGAGAGACAGCTGATGGTGAGTTTAACTTGAGGGTCAAAATGTCTCAAGTAAGGGGCAAAGTTGAGAAGGCAGGGCCTTCCTTCGTAGTGACCTCAGCTGGTTCAGTGGCATTCTGCTTGCCAAACCAGCCGTCCAACAACTGAAGTGATCATCAATTGTAGTTCGCACATTTTATTGGCAGGTCTGGATTTAGTTTTGAAGTCACAATTAGAACAAATGCAAGTGCTTGTCATATGGTCCCATCTGGAGGATCTTATGACCCCTTTAACTCCGGGACTGGTTGCTTCTACAACACTGCCGTAAGAAATGGCCAAGTGGAAACATTAAAGTAGCCTTTAAATGTTCATCCGCAGGCAGGGAAATATCTTACAAAAAATGCCCTCAAAGGTTAGAGTTTGATTAAAGTCACTGTTAACATTGAAAAGAAAATGTTTTGAACATCTGCAGTTAAAAACCCAACTAAAGTAAAAAAAAATCCACTGCATTGATAGAAGCAGTTACGGTTTCAGGAAGTATGTTGTTTCCCACAGCCTTTCATTACCACTCATAGAAATGATAAGAAGTGGACAAAATGTGGAACTTAATTAATATGATGGATTTGATCTTAAATTCAACCTATGTAATTATTATGACTGTTTTGAACAAAATGAATAATCAATGGTCTAGTGGACATCACACTATCTAACGTAATACTCGGCCATAGGTTCGTATATTAACACATAAAATAGGAGCAAAAGTAGATCATTCAGCCCTTCAATCCTGCACTGCCATTCAACAAGGTCATGGTTGATCATTTGTGTTTTGAATTCCACATTCTCCTCTATCCCAATAACCTTTGATTCCCCTGCCTAAAAAGAATCTACCTCCACCTTCAAAATATTTAATGACTGTGTCTCCACCACCTTCTGTGTTTTAATGTTGCACAGCCCTTTGAGAGAAAAAATTAACTCTGTCTTCACTGTCCTAAAAAGGTGACCTTTAATTTTGCCTCTGAGCTCTAGTCTCATCCACAGGAGGAAACATCCTTTGCACACCCACCTTATCAAGACCACTCAGAACCTTATAAACGTCAGTCAAGTCATCTCTCATTTTCTAAACTCCAGTGGATCGAAGTCCAGCCTGTCTAACCTATCCTCATAACACAGTCCACTCTAAGGTTCCGCATGGTAGACTAATTAGTAAAGTTAGATCACGTGGGATTCAGGGTGAGCTTGCCAATTTGATACAAAATTGGCTTGACAGTAGGAGACAGAAAGTGATGGTGGAGAGTTGTTATTCTGACTGGAGTCTTCTGACCAGCGGTGTTGACAGGAATTGGTACTGGGTCCACAATTTTGTTTGTAATTATATAAATGATTTGGATGAGAAAATAGTAGGCATGGTTAGTAACTTTGCAGATGACACCAAAATTGATGGTATAATGGACAGTGAAGACGTTTATCTAAGATTACAAAGAGATCTTGATGCACTGGGGCAATAAAGTGAGGAGTGGCAAATGGAATTTTAATTTGGATAAATGAAAGGTGTTGCATTTTGGTAAAACAAACAAGGGCAGGACTGAGACAATTAATGGTAGGGACCTGGGTAGTGTTATAGAACAGAAAGACTAAGGGGTTCAGGTACATAATTCTTTGAAATTTGCATCACAGGTAGACAGGGTCATTAAGAAGGCTTTGAGTGTGCTTGCCATCTATGCTCAGATCTTTGAGTATAGGAATTGGGACATCATGTTGAGGTTGTACAGGACGTTGGTAAGGCCACTTCTGAAATACTGTGTGCAATTCTGGTCATCCTGAAATAGGAAGGATATTGTTAAACTGGAGAAGGTTAAGAAGAAAATCTACCAGGATATTGCCAGGAATGGAAGATTTGAGTTATAAAAATAGGCTGGAGATGCTGGGACTTTTTCACTGAAGCATAGGAGTTTGAGAGGTGACCTCATAGAAATTTATAAAGTCATGAGGGGCATAGATAAGGAGAATAGCAAAGGTCTTTTCCTTCAGGTCGAGGAGTTCAAAACTAGAGGGCATATTTTTAAGGTGAGAGGAGAAAGGTTTAGAAAGGACATGAGGGACAACTTTTTTTACACAGAGAACGGATTATGTGTGGAATGAACTGCCAGAGAAAGTGGAGGATGGGGGTACAGTTGCAACATTTAAAAGACATTTGGGTAAATACATAAATAGGAAAGGTTTGGAGGGATATGGGCCAAACGCAGGCAAGTGGGACTAGTTTAGTTTGGGAACATGGTCGGCATGGACTAGTTGGACTGAAGGGCCTGTTTCCATGCTGTATGACTCTGTGGCTCTATGGATACTATACCAACCTTTAATTGTTCTGATAGAAGAGATTGGAAAAATAGCAATGATCCATGGTCCTAACGATCAGGTGAGAATACGATCAGACTTGGCCGTGATTACTAACCTCTGTGGCAGTGTAGCCTCATTTTACAGGCAAACTCATGAGAGTCGTTGCCACTCAGGTGTGATGCTGGACGGTGGCTGTGAAACTGTATTTTAGCCCGGTGACTGCAGCTAGGACAAACAGGAAAGCAGACCAGAAGAAAACTGAAACAATAAGTAAACTAAAACATGTTAGGAGGTATATATTTAGATAAAAATGTACTACCTGCTTGTTTTGCCGTTGCAGCTGTGACTCTGGATACATTGGACAGCGCTGTGAAAACAGAGACTTCAGTATTCTATATGTTGTTCCAAGTGGGCAAAAACTTCACTATGTCTTAATTGCAGCAATAATTGGAGCTGTGCAGATTGCCATAATAGTTGCTGTGGTGATGTGTATAACAAGGTAAGCAGAGTACGTTAATAATTCAGCAGAAGAAATGTACAGGAGCTATTTTTACAGCGAGATGTGCATGATTTTAAAAATATTCTTTGCTTTATATAGTTCAACCCTACTCCGCCATTATTTATTCCAGTTCCTAAAGCGAGGTGGCAGGAAGAGAGTTCTTCCCTTTTTGTCTAAATGGATTTGAAGCCACAGAGACCAGTGACACCACTTACGTGGAGTTGCTTTCACAACTGCTTTTGCAAAATACAATCGGTGTCCTACAGCAGCAAAGAACTCCCAGTTCACGTATATAAACAGCTGCCCCGCTCAAAGAGCTGGACTTGATCTTCACCCATTTTCTGGTCCAACAGAAAATTGCCTCAGGCAGGCCTTGCGAATCCAAGAGACAAGCTGCAATAGCCATTTCCCTACCTTGGCTTACAGCTATTATCCCTGCCTTTTTCATGTGTGGTATGGGAGGGCAAAACTTGAAAGTCACCTCCAATAATTCTTTTGTCATTTGTAATGTTATCTTTGTTCCTGTGTCTGGTTATTGTGGAGACTTGTTGTGAGACCAAATGTATATTTCAGTTTCCATTTTGCCCTGGTGATCCCCCCACCTTAATTATTATGATTAATGTAAGTTTCATGCTATATACATGTAGACAGAATTGTAGGTATCACTGTCTGTGCTGTGCCAGTCCAGCTGCTACTCTAGGCCATGCTCAAAAGCAACCGATTCATTCATTTCACCCATTGATTTGTTTTTTCTTTCCATCATTGATCTGGATTTTCACTCCTGGGTCACGTAGTGAGAGTTAGAAAATCTCCAACTTGCTGTACTCATCTTGAGGAAAAACTCCCGAATGACAAGAACTTTGCTTTAGTGGATGGGTGCTGGTGGAGTTAGACCCCCCTCTCCGTTACCTGACATAGATCAGATGTGGCCGTACGGCCTGACTAATACCAAGGCAGCCTATCTAAAAAGCTCACCTATATTCTCTTGTGACTTCTTCCCAATTGTTTTGTTAAAAATTATGGCTGTTAGCCCACACTCATCAAACCCTTTCACTACCCGCCCATTCCCCATGCTCTATCCATGCCCCCAACAACAGCTTCTCATAGACTTCCTCCTCCACTTGGACAGTCTTGGGCCAGTAATTCCTGGGTGGCTGTGGGAATGTCGCATTTCACCAGTGAGGCCTTGAGGGTACTTCCTCTGTCAACCTGGGGTTCGCCTGCCTTTTCGAAGCTGAGCGTACAGCAGCTGCTTGCGCTCGGCCAGTCCAAAATCTAGGCACTGACCACCCTTGATCAGCTACAATGGGCTGGGCATGTCGTCTGCATGACCAATGTCCACAAACTGCTATTGAAACTGTTGGACCAGTTGTTTTTTTGTTAAACTCGATGACACAGGCAGACTTTTGTTTTAAATTTATAAATGGTTGGTGATTTAAACGACTTGAAAGCTTAATCCCCTTTTAACCTGCCAGTATACAGGCTTCTTTTAAATTTCTAAGGAGCTAGCGATTTATGTAAGTTAACAGCTTAACAGTTCTACAGGTCTTACTAACCTGTTGAAAGCTTTTATGATTACTCTCAGTGTTCAGAGCTCCCAAGCTACACGTTAAAGCCCTTGCTACAGCAGAAATGGAGTCTGTTTAAACTCAGCACTGTTTTCAGATAGCCCTGTAGAGTTCAGGTTTCACCTCCTGGCAAAAATGGGATCATTTGGAATTGGGCTGGACTTGCAGATCCTCCCATTCAGTTTTTTAGGCCTGAATAGTCTACTCAAAAATCCTGGCCTTAATGGAGAAAAACACTATTCTTCTTTGGATTGTGCAAGTTAGATTGTGAACTCACTACACACAGAATTTACCCCTTATGTCCTTGGCACAAGCAAGTGCCAATACAATCTCTCAATGCACCAATTTGACAATAGGCAAATGTGTTTTCAATCTGATTTATACCTTCACAAATTGAGGAGGAATGTCACACAAAGCTTATTTGTTTTACATTTATTTGGACTACTTATATGAGCCACATTAAAGAGTTCAGCAGAATAGGATGGTGCTTTTACACATTCAATCTGGATTTGAACGCAACCCACACTCGCATCCATTTGCTAACTGTAAAGTCAGAAATGAAATTAATTTGACAAATACCAACCCAGATTCCCATGGGTACGGAGCAACAAACTAGCCCTACCTCTACAGCAAGTTAATTTTCTAAAAGGTGTCACCAGTGTGAATGGCATGGGAATTGGAAATATCATGTTGTTGCAGCTAAGTTGCCCATTGTGAATAGAAAGAGGCCCTTATTCTGCAAGTGACTGTACTACACCTTACAATGGAGCCTTTGGTCACCTGGGCAAATACAAAAGTCTTACAATGAAAGCAAACAGTAGAAATCTTACAATTATGAAGCTCTGATTATTTTCCTTATTTGGTTTACAGGAAATGTCCAAAAAATAACCGAGGCCGTCGACAGAAACAAAACCTAGGACATTTTAACGCAGACTGCACCACTTCATCAAGGATGGTCTAGTTTATCATTTTTATACCTTTTTTCTTCATTTACCATGTCTCACCAATTGCTGAATTATAAGTGATTTTTCTTTTCCTAAGAAGAAGATTTTTGTTTCAGAGGCCTTGGTTTTCTGAACCTGTGCCAGCATAGGAATTACTGTGTCTGGTGATATGACCAGGATGCTCGAGTGATAGATAAATAAATGACAGTCTATTCATAACTGACAGTTTCACCAGTAGGAGGGTTCCTTGATTTTTAGAAAAAAAAATTCAAACTGAGATGCAGGAACAAGTCAAGATGATACAGCTGGCCTCAAAATGAAATACTAATGAAAGGACCATTTTTGTACTTCACGAGCAGAATTTTGCTCTTTATTTATGCCACTCACATGTTGTGTAATAACCTTGCTACAATGTTATTAATAAATTACAAATGACACTTGAAAGGCAGAGAACTACTTGAAGAAGTTTTAAATAAGGGATTGACGGAACCTGCTAAAGACAGGAGGATTAAAGAAAAGGGAATAAAATGTTTACAACTAACTTTCCTTGCAAGAAACGAAGGGGTTTTTTTGAAGTTATTAGGAAATGATGCATTTTCAAACACTATTTGCATGATTTGTGGAGCTGTGTACTGTGATTAGTTTAAATTCAAAGCTGTTTGGATTGAGTATGTGGTCGACATCTGAGCCGTGCCATTTGGATAACTCTGAGTCCGCAGCTATATTTGACTCCCCTTGGTGTAAATTTAGTAACTCATCAATGTAACTGGTGGTGCTTATGGTGTGTGCCACAGGAAAAAAAGAATTTGTTTTGTAGAACAAGACTTTAGGTTGATCATTTGGTGTATTTATTGAGATTCAAATGGTTTTAAAAGTTGAATTGATACACTGTTATTAGTCACCATCATGCTGTGATAAAATACACTGTAATTATTTAAACATGTGTTGTATTTGAGATTACGTTGCAAACGGTACTAAAATCTCAACAGTGTCACCTACTGGGCATGTGTGTTTAGGGTTGTGGTTTAACAAAGTTTCATGGTTCTGTCACTGCAGTGACAAGGGTGTGAGCTGCCTTTATAACACAATACTGCATTATCCCGAAATTCAAAACAATTTTGACCTCAGCGAAATTAAGTGGTGCCATTCAGTTCTCATCTGATCTGTCAAAATTCTGGAAGCACCATCTTACAGAATCTCTTTTTTATTTTATTGCAAATTATCAATTTTCAAATATTTAATACTAGTGCTGAAATTCAGTTCAATGAGGTTGTGCTAGTTTATTCATAAACATAGTCCATAGCCTATAGTTTCACAATAAATATATTTCCTCTCTTTTAAAAGAAAGTAAGCACTGGTTTGACAGAAAATGCATTTTACTGCAGTAGATTGCAAGAACCTTCTCCCTTTAAAACCTAGATCATGACACTTCGTGGTTACTTCAGAAATATATCAATGAAGTAAAATCGAAGGGCTAACATTAAAGATGTTTTACCATAATGTCTCAGTAAAATGCTAACTTTTTTTAAGATCAGCAAATACAGTACACCCTTTATTTAAAATGTGTTTTCGTTTCACGCTGCAGAAAACTGAAAATGACACATACTTTAAAAACAGCCTAAACTCATGTCAGCTAGCACTCATGTCAGCAGGTTGTGAGATTAGGTTCCATTCCACAGATCTTAGCACTTAGTTTGAACTGCCACTTAAGAATAGTTGTGAAGGATTGCTACACTCACAGAGGTTGCATTTTTTTTCAATGAGTTCTTAAATTGATGGCCTTGTCTTTATCCTCAGGTAGCTGAATAGGATGCCATGGTATGATTTGAAGAGAAGGGGAATTCTTTACAATGTCAAGTCCTAACCAATGTTTAAATGTCTGGTTATATCTAAACATAAATGGTTAAATGTCATTTAAACAGTTATCTGTTAATTTATTTAATTGCTACCATATATATTTGAGTAATTGTTGATCTCTTGTCAAGATCGACTCCTGACTTTGGCCAAAAATCATTCATTTTTCATGCACCTCATATATAGGTTGACCTCCAACTTTTAACCTAAAACTCCAAAGCCTGTATTCACTACACATTCGTGACCGAAGTCAAACTCACAATAGTGCAAACCCAATTGGTAGAATCATAGAATAGCATATTATTGAAGGCAGTTAAGCAACTCCTCATATCTATGCACATACTTAGGTACCACTATTAGGGACAGGTCTGAGGAAATAAACTCCAACCTAGCAACTGATGGAAGAGGATAGATCTCAACCTCTCTAAAATGTTACTCGTGAAAAATATCAGCCCCCTACTTTATAATTAAGCATTGAGTCTTAGGAACTCAACTTATCTAAGACTACATATTCTCACAATTGAAAGGCATTTAAATATAGGTCCTTGCTGTGTACAAATTGGTTGCTGCAGTTCCTGCGTTACAACAGTGATCAGAATTATAAAATCATTCAGTGGCTGTAAAATGCTTTGGGATGTGCTGAGGTCATGAAAGGTGCTATAAAATGCAACTCTCTTTATTTCTTTTTTATCTGGATATTATTTTGTAAGGGTTTAATTTACAATAAAGATTATCATGGCAAATGTTATTGCTATGTATAAAATGATCAGAGATACACTATCTTTGGCCAGTCTCTGTCCTCAACAGTGGCCCTAACCTTTTAGTCCTTTGCTATTTCAATAAACCCTCTTGTTCTTATGCCAACATTTCTCTCCTAGTCCTGCTAAAGTGTTACAGTGAAGTTCAGTGCAAGCTGGAAGAACAACACTTCAGTTTCAACTTAGTCACTTGACAGCCTTCAGCACTAAATATTAAGTTCAGCACTTTCAGAGCACAGACACTGTCCTCCATTTTAATACCCAACCCCCATAACTTATTTACCTCTTGTTGCTCTTAGCAAGGCTGACCTATTTTCTTGTGTTCACACCTATCACAAACAACTCTTTTATGTCCCAGAATCACCATTTACTACAGCTAATGCTCCCTTTGTCTTCTGCTCTGGGCAACCTCACCATCTGTTCCACTTTTGTTTCCGCCCTTTGACAACACACAAAAATCAGTATTTTCCAACCCCTGGAAATCAAAACATGAATTCTGTTTCTCTTTCACGGATACTGCAGACCTACCTAGTTTCGTCAGCATTTTCTGTTTTTATATATACCTTCTTTGCTTGTTTTACTGTTGTCATTTTCAGACCATATTCCTTCTATTGCTTTAGGTATTTTCTTCATGGAATGCTATACTATAGAAAAAGACATATGGAATCATTTTTAATATTTAGACACTCTTTTGCCTTGCAGTTGAAGGGTTTTCTTATTTGAGTTTAAATTCTGTCTGTCTAGTCAGAAACAGTACATATCCACAATATATTCATGTCACACCAATGCCCAGCACAGAAGGCATCAGGTGAGGAATTTGGAGGACCAGGACAGCCAATGAAGGCTGGGTCAGTGCAGCTCTCTGATGGTCGTACCTTCAGGGTCATTCAGAGTTGACGCGACCAAATGCAAACAGCCTGCCCACCCCAAGCAGGCGGATGTTTGATGTATAAATTAAAGGCCCAGTTAGAGGTCATGTTTTTGTTGTCATTCAGATTTTGCTGAAGGCAGTGTGGTCCCCTTTCCTCACCACCCACCACCTGGAACATCACCACCTCCAAGCCACTCACCATCCTGACTTGGAAATATATCGCCGTTCCTTCACTGTCGCTGAGTCAAAATCCTGGAATTCCCTCCCTAATCGTTTGTGGGCCAACCTACAGCTGGTGGACTGCAGCAGTTCAAGAAGGCAGCTCACCACCACCTTCTCAAGGGCGACTAGGGATGGGCAAGAAATGCTGGCCCAGCCAGCGACGCCCACATCCCACAAAATGAATAGGAAAAAAAACAGTCCTACCCCTCCATGGGAAAATTAGCAGAAATTGGAGTCGGCCTCTATGCTACAGGCTGCAATCAGGTTTACAGGCCCCAGAGACCATCAAAGGTGGATGAGGCAAGGAAGGCAGCTTCTGCAGCCTCAAAGACCTTCCCAGAGGAGTTTGCCCTCCAACCCCTGACCCCATGAACTTCTAACTTTTTTAAACATATTATTTGGTGGCTCAAGGTCTCCAACATTCCTCAGCAGCCCCACATGTTTCAGTCGTGCTGCTGAGATGCCAAGCCTGTAATCAGGTCAAAAGCATAAGTAGCTTGCCATGGCTCTCCATTGTACGGTGGCCCCAAAAGTAGGCAGTTATGTTTGTAACCCACTTTTTTACCTCGACCTCAGGATCCTGGCACCACTGCATAAAGTATAGTCCGAACATTTACAAGGACGTTGCCGTGATTGGAGGGTTTGAGCGACTGGGCATGGCTGAATAGGCTGGGACTCTTGTTCTTGGAGCGTCAGAGGCGAGGGGTGACCTTATAGAGGTTTTATAAAATTATGTGGGGCATGGATAGGATGAATAGCCAAGGTCTTTTCTCCAGGGTAGGAGAATCCAAAACTAGAGGGCAGAGGTTTAAGGTGAGAGGGGAAAGATTTAAAGGGACCTAAGGGACAATTTTTTCACGCAGAGGGTGATGAGTATATGGAACGAGCTGCAAAAAGAAGTGGTGGAGATAGGTACAGTTACAACATTTAAAAGGCACCTGAATGGATACATGAACAGGAAGGGTTTAAGAGGTTTAAGAGTGATATAGACTAAATACTGGCAAATAGGACTAGATCAGTTTAGGATATCTGGTCAGAAGAGTCTGTCTTCCATACTGTATGACTCTATGATGCTTCATCATTGGGAAATATTGTCAATAATCTCTAAAGAATTTTGATTAAACATAATACTGCCTGCTACTAATGTTTAGTGATCATTTAGCCACTGTTAATTCTTATGTTATGTAAAACAGTAACTTGCATTCTTATAGCACCTTTTGACATAGAAAGTATCCCAAGTGGGTCTGGGAAGGAAAATAATTCAAAATTGTAACAACTGGCAGCCAATTTCAGTGGTCTCTTTCTCTGGATTGTTCACATCTAGATTTTAGGCACAGAATTCAATTCTTGACTCAGCAGTTTCTAATCATTGTCCTTCTGCTCTTCTGTTGTTTGATTTAGGATTAACTTAAACGTATTTAAAAATCTATTTTCAGAGAATATCCCTCTTTAAAATTTTCTGCTAATTTTGACAGCTCCATTCACAATGGATAAAAAATCTGACTACACCAAATTGAGATTTGCAGAAATGAGAAAATCTAACAGATTCCCCTGTGCAATCCATCTGAAACTCTTCTTATCTCAGGCTTTTGAAGCAGTTTGACATTTTAATGGTCCCTCTAGTGCTACAGCGAGAGTTATTTCAGCACCACTGAGTTTGCTGATTGGACCTGAAATGTTAACTCTGCTTTCTCTCCACAGAAGCTGACAGACCTGCTGAGTTTCTCCAGCAATTTCTGAATTTTGTTCCTAACTTGCGCTGTTCTTTTCCTCTTGATAGGACAAATCTTTCCAAAATAGAAAAATGGGATAAATATGGCAGGGTGCGGTTGTGTTTCAACTGAAAAAGGAGTCATCTATTGCTGAATAATCTACTTGTGTGCAGAAATTGGCGTCTGAAAGTAAAGGGCAATAATTTGCCCTCCGTGTCCTCACATTAGTGCCACTAGTCACACAGAAAGTTTCCTACTGGTGTGGGTGCCCTCTCAGTGCACACAAGTATCTCTGACCCTTGAGGTGGGACAGCACATAGTGACTTAAATGATTATTCCTCCTTATCACAGATTTGAACGCAAAAGAGCCCCAAAGGATACTCGTTGGCAGTTCAACTAGCATTGTGATTATCTGTTTAAATAATTCGTAGTATCACTCCCAGCAAAATAATGTAATTGATAATGCCATCATTGACAACAATAAGCTAATCGCTTCTTCAGTACTGTATGATTCTATAAATCAATGTTCTGAGATATGGGACAGCATTTAATGGAATCTGCCAAAGCAGGCATGATGGTGAGGGGACTGAGAGAATCCATCAGGAACATCCACTTCTCATCTTTGTATCTGGAAAACCTTTCTCAATTTAGTGGGAGATGGAGAAGGCTTAATGTTGGAATCTCGCCTCAATAGCCTGCCACTTGAGTGTAATTATCCCTAAATCACCAGGATTTATTGGAATTCAGTAGGACTTGCACAAGTCTCCAGCATCTGCTGAAAGTTGCCCAGAAATTCCTGTCAGATTGTCAATGCCTGGAAGGAGTTCCTCATTCGCAGGAATTCTGTGCCTGGTTGAGGGACCCAGTATCAAGAAAGGACCCCGCAGGAAGTCAGCCTTCTGATTTGCTATCGAATTTCCTCCCCCTTCCACTTAACTCCAGCCAGCAATCCACATCCAGGCCACACTCAGTTCTGCCTGAGGATCCATGGCCAATTCTTGCAGGACTGTATGGAATGCCATTAGTAGTCAGTGCTCCCAGTGACATCGTTGGTATTGGAGAGTACTTGGTGGGGTGAGATTTCTACCCAACCGGGAACTTGATTAGACAGAAAGCTAAACGCTATGCAATTAAGTGCCTGATTGCATTAAAATATGGTTGGGCTTTGAGTGCAAAAAGACATAATGTCCCCCATAGTTCCCCATCCAGTAATGGGACCCCGATCAATTCAGCTAAATTTCACTTCTTCAGAAAAAGCTTTGATCATGTTTCAAAATACAACTCTTTTGTCGGATTTCTTCCCCACACCTTGTCCAGAATAAAACAAAAATACTATTTATGACTAAATTTAACTTTAAAAGAAATTGAGTTCAGAAGACTTGAAATTAATCCTTGGGAACAAATTCACACAAATTCTTAATTTATTAAAGCATATGCAGCCACCTCCTTTATTGTTAGTTGTGTGTCAGGTCCAGTTTGCATTGGATGCAATTGACGTTTTTACATTAGTGTGAAGTGCTTCTGTGTGAGAATCAATCCAAAAACAATAATGTAGCTCAGAATACTGAGTGCATTGACACTGTGAGACGTCAGTCACCTTCCAGAGGAGAATAACACACTAATTTCAATTGTCACAAAGCATAAATCCAGCCCAAAACGCAAACTGAAATGTCTGGATGTTGAGTAAGGACTCTCCACAATTAAATGTGATAGCAATCATTGTCTAATAACTTGCTTCATCTGTGAAGAAGAGTCTCCTGCATGAGGAACTGAATGGTTACTGGTACCATGGTATCCTATTTAGGCATCAATCACTGTCTTCAGGGGAGGAGGGGAGCATAGAATTAATTACATCTACCTGTCCATAAATTTGCGTACTATTTTCAGCTACCTTTCCTTTTATTAAATTTCGCCAATAATCTGAAATTAAGCAGTGTGATCTAATTATTTCAGTGTTCTTCTGATCCTGATCCAAACAGAAACCATGTTGAAAAAAGTTTCAATACTTCCTTCTTTAATATCTAAAAGTATTACCTTAATCTACTCTTTACACATCTCATTCTACATGCGATAAATAGCTGTAACTTACTTGCCCACAGTGCCATGCTTCTCCTACTTAATGGTAAATTAGATTTGCTGTACAAATTCTTTTCCATAAAGTAATTTTTAATTTCTAACTCTCAAATGAGAATTTAGTGTAAATTTGTAATCATTGTCATTAAGTTTGAATTGCAGCCAGGTGGGTCAATGGAAGAGGATACAATGGGAATTAGACAAAGAGAAATATGTGCAGATCTGAATTGTATCATCAATCTGCTCAATAAGCCATCAATGGCTCAAATGGCATCACTTCCTTTAGATCTTTGAAGAAAGAGTGGAACCAAGGATTTTTGAGACTGATAAACAAGAGTGGGCAGGGAGTTACTTTTGAATGGTTTCGTAAATCTTTATCACGTAACACTTTGGTTGTGTGGGAATATTTATCCCCATTGTCCCTAGCTCCCCAACCTGCCTCTAACCTTGAAACTACACGGCAACATTATGTCCTTAATATTTAACTACATATGCAAGCTGATAAAAATTCAGCTTAAAAACCATGAAAATTGTTAAAAAACACAACACTGAAAGAAGCATGTTTGTGCGTTATTAAAATAGCAGTTTTGATTTCTGATGTGTGTATATCTGTGTTTGTTAAAACTCTGCCTAACAACACCTTGTTCTATAACTTATAATGATGACCAAAATAAAAAGGCAGCTATGCACTGCAGTTAAAAGAGCTGTAAGATGAGATTTCAGATTTTACTGGAGGCGGACAGCTGTTCAATCACCAGCGTGAGAGTCAAAAGGTATTTTCCACACTCAGGGTTAGAATCCATCTTCATGTACGTAAGCATTCAAGTAATTCAGGATGGATGCATGACAGCCGTACAAAATGGGTGGCTTCCAGAGGTAGGTGGAGTCACACACTGCCCTTTTAATCTTGGATCATCTGGGAGAATGGCTGGTTGATGAATCACTGCCAACACAGAGTTGAACACAGTATTGGTTCTGGCCCCTCTAGCCTACACTCACACAAAGTTCATGTTTTAAATTAGACACAAGAGGAGAGCTTTCTGAACCACCAGCAACATGGCTGAGGAACGAGTGTATTCAGACTCTAGCAACCTTGCTTTTGGTATAAATCCCACTGCTAGAGGTGAAGGGGAGGCTTCTCCACTTGACCCACTAACAGTATTAACTCTCCTGGAAAAAGTGGCCGGGATTGTTGACAGTGTTAATGAAACTCAGCGGAAAATGGAGCAACAGCAACTGGAAATAGAAAACACTGTTAAAGAGATACAAATCGATGTCGCAAAGCTTAATAAGGCTCACCTGACCACAGATACGACAGTCTCAAAGTTACTGGTGAAAACCCAGAAGATCAATGCTAATGTTAAAGATGTGAGACAACGACTGGATAAAACAAATGCTCAGGTCAAAAAAGTTGAAGGAAACCACCGTGAGCTGCTCAAAAGGAATAAATTCCGAGTGGTCATATTCCAGGTACGTTCCGTTTCAGATAATTTATACAGTTTAAACAAACTTTCTCAGAGTTTGTCTCGGTGTTAGATGTATGAAATATGGAGTAGTCATCACAGCTACTGAGCTAACTACTCTGAGTTCCAGTCTATCCAGCAAGGTATGTGTTAATGAAGTCAGTCTACAGCGTTTCTTTCAAAACAGGACACCTGTGAAATATTTTTTAAATCATACAATCGCCAAGCAATTCCTTTCCCCTCTTTTGCGTGCCACAGCTCTGAAGTTCAATAATTGCTTTTTAAATAAAATTGCTGAAACAACAAATCATTTTGGATTAACAGATGTAACTTCATACAACAGTGCAGTTGTATTAATATACCAGGAGGCTTTGTGCCATCTGCCTGGAGACCAGAGACACTGGAACAGCAACTGTTTGCTGGCCACCTGAAAACTAATACGCAGGCAGGGATACCATGTGTTTAACCGTCTGACTCACATCACTGGTTCCTTTTTGAAAGATCAGGGAGTGGAGTTTGTGTAAAGATGAATTCCTGAAAACATTTTAGAAATTTCACAATGTGACTGCCAATATTTTGCATAGACTATTGTAACGTAATTTACAATAATGGAACATGCTGCAGTCGCCATTTCTTTGGGAATTATTTTAACATGTTTATAGATAGCATGATAAGATGGATGTTCTCATATAGTGTGTACTGTGCTATCGCTTATCAAATGAATGCTAGATTTTTGCAGATTACCCTGCAAATGACTCTAGATACCTCAACATTGGTATAATTTACCTTCTGTCTGTTTTGGTGGCAGACAATTAAAGACCTATATTACATTTCAAAGAACTACAAGGGAATGGCTACAATCTTTGTTGTCCAATCCATTTAAATGTCTAAGTACATTTGTCAAAATAATTGATTTCCTGTGTAGTTTTCCCTTTCCTTGAATGCACTAATCCTTGGCTAATGCACCATTCCATGTGTCCCAATTGACCTCCGGCACTTCATCCAAATGTCTATTAGTCACACGCAAGCTTACCCACTCATTGTTGGCAGACTATTTAATGGCAGAGGTGATGGTGGAGGACATTATACATGATTATGATCGTGACCTCATATGTCCATATATCAGTAACTCCTGCAGGAGTTGAAATCAGTAGCAGGAGGTAATCCTGAAATAAAATCAGAAAACGCTAGAAACACTGGGCAGGTCTAGTAGCCTCTCCAGAGAGAGGAATAGAGATAACATTTCAGGTTAACGACCTTTCGTCAGAATCAGGCATCCCTGATTTTTTTCTTTCTGTAACCCAGGGCACAAAGACAAAAATTAATGAACTGACAACTACCTCTGTTCAACTAACCGTGTGCATTAGTGATCGAAACTTGTTGGAATATTCTTTACTGATAAATATCAAGTACTTATTGAATATTGTTGTTGTATGCCTAGGAGTGTTGGCGGCTGTTGGAGGGAGAGGTAGTTTCAGTACATTAAAACGTGGGAGTTAAAACAATTTACTTAGTATCTAATTCACTTGATCTAAAGTCTGTCTATGCCAAGCGAAGAGATGCAAATATATATATGTTTGCCCCATTTTGCAAGATTATCCAAGAATGCTATGATGAGGACCATTTAGTAACTTATAAAGTAATTATTTGAGTCCTGAAATTATACCTTGGGATGTTAGCTTACAGGCACTCAATCAGGGATTTCTCTCTCTACTTTTTAGTAGCAACATTAATAGCAGGAAGAATTTCAGCATTGGTACTGGAACACACTGACATATCAGTTTGGGACCCAGGGGGATTATTCTGTTTTATGAAGCAAGACTTGGATGAAAACATAAATTTTTTGAGGAAAATTAAACAGACAGCTCCAAAGAGATTGACAGTATAGCGATGTTATGATGAAATCCCTTAAAAGCAATTCACTGTTTCACTAAGAAGCTGTTAGAAAGTTAATTCATGGAGATATGCCAGAATTAATTTATGTTCAGATACAAGAGGAGAGAAAATGTAAGCTGCCTAAAAATATAATAATTTACTTTGCATGTGATTTTCATGTTGAAAAATATTGAAGAACATTCTACAGGATAGAAGTCCAGAATAAAAATTGCATTTTGTGCTTTCACAGGAAGAAAATCAAATGCCCTCCTCAGTTGTCTATAAAAACCTGCCTCACGAAGGGAATGCGGCAGCTGCAGAAGAAGAACACACTGCAACTGCTGCTACGCCACCACCAGACCTCTCCTCCGATGAAGAATTTGTTTATAATGAAGAAACTGCAAGTGCACGCCTCAGAAAATCAGGCATGAAGGGGGTGGATAGTATAAAGAAGGCTTTTTCAAAAGAAAACATGCAGAAAACCAAACAAAACTTTGGGAAGCAGATGAATCGGCTCAGTAACACAATAGTCCCTCCAGACCGGAGAGAGAAGATAAGGATTTCAGGAGAGAGAATCAAAAAGTCCATCGTTGATTCAAAACCATTTCATATGAATATAAAAAAGAAAAATGAAAGAAGTGGGGCAGAAGGACAAGAAGTAGCTGTCAAAGGTGTAGGAGAAAGTTCCAAGGGTGAGGTCACAGGTACAGAAGCAGCAAAGGAAGTGGACATACCAGGAGCTGTTGAAGTAGGTGAAGATAATCTCCCAGCAACGGTTACAAATATTGCGAATACAGAAACGGTTGTAGTAACCATGGAAAGAAAAAGTGATGAGGCAGTTCCTTCAGTGGCAGAAGTGAAGCAGAGTCCTGAGTTCAGCTAAAGAAAGACTTAAAGCTGCGTTACTTAATAGCCACAGAAAGAGCTAGTGTCAAAATTATGATGTTAATACATCTACAAAATGTTCCTGTATATCAAATCAGACTTGTTCAATGATTCAGATTCTTTTTTTTTTAATTTGGCCATATTTTTGATGAAGCATCACATTTGTGTACAAAGTGCCAGTCCTTTCACAACACCCTGCTAGCAGGCTGAACTGGACCTCAGACGACCGTGGATCAGTCCTCTGCACTTCTTGTGTCCCTGATATTTGTAGAAGTGGTTCCAGATGAATTGTGAAGGTTGGCAGGAGGTTTATTATCAAAAAAAAAACTAAAATGTGGGAAGGTTTTTGTTTTTAAGAATAGACCTTTGAAGAAGGACAGCATTTTTCAATTTTGTATTTGAATCTTGAAGTTTATATTGTTTTGAATTGGGCTGTTAAGTAGTACAGTTTTAATTCTTGTCAATCTCTCAGCTATCCTCACATAGTGTTTTCAGTATCGCTTTATGTCACATGTCAGGTAGCTGTGGAGGATGTTGAAAAAATAATCTTATTTCGTTGTTGTCACTATGGTAATTGAAACATCAAGTGATTGCTCCTCAGGCCTTAGAATAAATGAAATGAACAGATGCTGTATATTGGGCATATCATAGTGTAATATGTGGCATTAGATAAAAAAAATTATTCTCTAAAAGTCCTTGGAGATTTACTATATTCCATCCCACAGGGAAAATGTTATATCCTCTGTAAACATATTGCTGAGTGGTTTAGAAACATATTACTACAATCTAAATATGTTTCAAAACTCTATTTCTGCACAAACAAAATCAGAATGATTCAAATACTTGTTTATTTAGGCTATTTTACAAATTCTCTTTAATACAAATAATTAGCTAAAATGAGCATGTTTTTGAAGTGTGTATCCTGCGTATTCATATTTGTATCTTTAGTTTTCAAACTGAAATAGATGTGTCATTGTATATGTAAAATAGAGTGATTTAGTTTAATATTCTTTGGTGTACTTTTCATGTTGTCTCTCCCCAAGTGTTCTTTGTGGTGTGCATGGGCAAATTCTCAGTGATGACTGCAAGCACCAGAGCTACTTGTTTAGCTTTGGGGTGTTTCCAGTGTTATTTTTAGAAAGCATAAGTCATGCAGCTGGACATTCAAGTGAATAAAATACTTTTAGTTTGAGCAGATTATTATACTTCATGTATATTCATTAAGGGATTTAGTCCGTAAAATTGGGAGTCATGTAAGTTTATACATTTGCTTAAAATTCGGCATAGTTGACAAGTGCCTGAATTCATTTTTCAGCTTTCTTCCATTTAACCCCTCTTCTCCTGGAGGTAGTGACTCCTGTGAAGGTATTGTCCCATGGGCGCTGGAAGCCTTATGGCATTTAGGTTGAGTTGCAGTTCTGTACACGTGAGCTTGTACATCGAATGTTGGCAGGCAATTTGACTGGACAGAAGGGAATCACAATAAGCCCAATCCTGTTCCCACCCAATTGCCATGCAAGTAAACTTTCCAGCAGCAATCACTGGACAGTGAGCAGGAGCAGGAATCCTGGCCATTTTCCATTCCCTATCCTAGGGATGCTGAAGTAACCAAATAATAAACTGTTGTGCATTTAAACACTTGTCTTTCAGAATGACAGGAAATATTAGTTTAAATTTGTCATATTTTCTTCCTTTCAACTCTCTTTGTCTGACCTTTTAAGTCTTATTTTTTATTGAAGTCTTTATGCTCATGCTACACATTAGACCCAAGTTAAATGATGAACAGTTATCCACTGTTTCCTATCCTTGTGGGGAAATGTCTACTGAAGACTTCCTGAGGGAAACTTCACTGAATGGGGGCTTCAAGTACGAAACTGCCTTGTCCATGTATGATGACATTGGTACCTTAATATATTATATCTCCAAGTTCAAAATAATTTATGAGCCATATTTGGTACACTGTAGTTCTTGTATCACAGTACAATCGATTTTTTGCATCAGACATTTGCCGCATGTTGTACTTAAATTACTGTGTATTGACTAATTACAACAAGCATTCACAGTCGACCATCATGATATAAGCTGTGGACAGGCCCCAAAGGATTAGTGCAGAAAAATTATAAGGTGTGCAGATTATCTCTTTTTAAATGGTCTGGTCCATTTGTATATGTGTCAGAAGAACTTACTGAGATAAAGGTACAGAATCATCATTTAATTTATGTTTAGTTAGTCCTCGGCTGCTACTAACTGTTCGATCGTAGAAGTAAGGTTTGTAATCTGTAACCACATTGTCAAAGCACAGTAGCTACACATTGTCAATAGTGGCAACAACATACAGGTTCCTACGCTTGGGAGCTGGTTCAAAAAGTTGAAAATGTAGGACACTATTTAGAATGTTGCTGGAACAGTAAAAACGAGAGAAAATGTGGATAAAATGCTGAAAACACAATGGGGGAAATAATAAGATGTATAGCGTATGTGAAAGTAAAATGGAAAAACAAAGAGGTGAGATTGTAGCAAAAAAGCAAAAAAAGTGATAAAACATAACATTTAATTATATGAGAATTTGAATAGAGAAAGGAAGGAAAGCAGGATTTTATTTAACTTTAGAGAAATAGATTTTCATTTGAGAGAGAGCCGTACATGTGATGTGCAGGTACAGAGATGTTGAGGCTAGTGTAGTTTATGTCTGTGTACAATTCATTATTTTAAACCCATTCCTTCCCTGAATCTAAAGATAGAAAAACATGGTTCAGGGTTGATGTCATGTTCAAAGATTTTCATGTGTAATGTTGCATATAGATATAATTGGGTTCCTGCTGAATAAATGTTAAAAAAACACCCTCACATTTACTTTGCATTTTTGCATGTTAGTTAAGCATTGTTACTTTCATAAACACCAATATACCAAACATCAAGGAATCAGAGACAGCAGCTTCCAAAGTCCTGCAGCTATACACGTTATACTACAGACTTTGATCGATTTACACATGTTAGCACTGGCTCTGAAAGTCAGATCTGCTACAACAAGAAATTAACTTAGAAGTGGGACACGGAACAAAATGTTACAGCGATCTGTCGTTTTATTGTAATCAGCAGGATTTCTCACAGGAGAATAATGACTAGAGGGAAGATGAGAAAAATCTGGTGTGAACTGGAAATACCTGGTAAGATTTGACAAAAGCAAATTTCAAGTGTTAGTAAAGCATAATACAATTCTTCTATCCTTTTCCACTATTTTATCTAACAATGCTTTATGAAGTAACATAGCAAATGAAAAATATTTTAATGCTCTTCATTATATTTATTGATGACATGATTGGAGATGGATATTAAGTAGTTCTCTGGAGGAATGCATTTGATTGCCTTATTGCCTTCTTATTATTGGTATTTGGTGTTTATAGTTTGTGTTTTTTTGGTTTTGGATGCAATTTCTGTACATTAACTCAATAAAGAAAACGTACAATTTGATTGTCTTGGCTATTGAAGATTGTTACTTTTATTTATCACTGTCTGATTTTGTTCATTAATAGAAAAGATTAAACACTAAATTCTGACATGTTGAGTGTAACTTTGTTACTTCACACAGAGAATCTAACAAGTTTGAGGTTTCAGTTTACATGCTGGGTGATTAATCTGGGATCTGGGTGGGAGGGATTGGGAGGGGTGGCAGGGGGCAGGAGTTGTTGGTGGTTTGGTGTATTCTCCCAATTTGATTCCATACCTTTGGAAGAAAGTCAGTGGAAATCCCATTTTAGGAAGTAGTGGCATAGTGGCAATGTCACTGGACTAGCAATCCAGAACCCAGGCCAATGCTCTGTGAACATGGATTTAAATCTCACCATGGAAAATGGTGACAATTGAATTCAATAACAAAAATCTGGAACATAGAGCTGACCTAATGGAGAATGTGTAACCATTGTCAATTGTTGTAAAAAACCATCTGGTTCACAGTTGTCCTTTAGGGAAGGAAATTGGCTACTCTCACTTGTGGCCTACATGTGACTGCAAACCCAAAGCAATGTGTTTGACTCTTAAATGCCCTCTGGGCAATTAGGATGGGTACTAAAGTATGCAAAATGTACTCTGGGTGGGGGATTTCAATGCCCACCACCAAGAGTGGCCCGGCAGCAGTACTATTGATCGAGCTGGTTGGGTCCTAAAGGACATAGCTGTTAGACTGGGTCTGCGGCAGGTGGTGAGGGAACCAACAAGAGGGAAGAAACATACTTGACCTCATCCCTACTAATCTGCCAGCTGCAGTTGCATCTGTCCATGACAGTATCAGCAAGAGTGGAGACAAAGTCCAGCCCTCACACTGAGAATACCTTCCATCGTGTTGTTTGGCACTATCACCGTGCTAAATGGGATGGACTTAGAGCAGATCTGGCAAGTCAAACACAAACAAAAACAGAAGTTGCTGGAAAAGCTCAGCAGGTCTGGCAGCACCTGCGAAGAGAAATCAGAGTTAACGTTTCAGGTCCAGTGACCCAACTCCACATTGAACATCCATGAGGCGCTGTGGGCCGTCAACAGCAGCAGAATTGTACTCCAGTACAATCTGTAACCTCATGGCCCAAAATATCCTCCACACAGTCTTTACCATCAAGACAGGGGATCAACCCTGGTTCAATGGACAGTGCGGGAGGGCATGCAAGGAGCAGCACCAGGCAGACCCCAAAAATGAGGTATCAACCTGGTGAAGCCACCAAACTAGACTACTTGCACACCAAACAGCGAAAGCAGCAAGTGATAGACAGAGATAAGTGATCCCACAACCAACGGATCAGATCTAAGCTCTGCAGTCCTGCCACATCCAGTTTTGAATGGTGGTGGACAATTATATAACTCACTGGAGGAGGAGACTTCACAAATATCCCCATCCTCGATGATGCAAGAGCCCAGCGCATCAGTGCAAAAGATAAGGCTGAAGCATTCGTAGCAATCTTCAGCCAGAAATGCTGAGTGGATAATCCATCTCTGCACTCTCCAGTGCTCCCCACAGCACAGATAAGAGTCTTCAGCCAATTTGATTCACTGTACGTGATATCAAGAAACGTTTGGAGACACTGGATACTACAAAAGTTAAGGGGCCTGACAACATTCCGGCAATAGTACTGAAGACTTGTGCTCCTGAACTTGCTGCTTCCCTAGCCAAGCTGTTCCAATACAGTTATAACACTAGTATATACCTGACAATGTGAAAAATTGCCCAAGTATGTCCTGTACACAAAAAGCAGGATAAATCCAACTGGGCCATTTTCTGTCCTATCAGTCTACTCTTAATCATCAAAGTGACAGAAGGTGTCATCAACAGTGCTATAAAGCAGCATCTGCTCAGCAATAACCTGTTCAGTGATGCCCAGTTTGGGTTCCACCAGGGCCACTCAGCTCCTGACCTCATT